GACCAGCATAGTAGCAAAGGGGGATTTCTCTAGAGGGGTTGGAGAAGGTGAATATGATTAAATGCATTGTGCAGAATTCCCAAGTAACTAATAAAAATGAGAAAACAAATCAAAGATAATTCAGAACACCAAAGAAAGTGGTATTGGAAAAAGACAAGAAATTCCATCTTATCCACCATGTTATCATGACTAATAATGGGATTTTTCTGATGTTGACCTACAGTGCTTTATGACTTTCAAGAATAAATAAAGTATAAAGCTTCAAAACAAACAAGATTAAAACTTAAGAATTAAATACCATGATTCCATGACCAAGTTCAGCTTTGAACATGTGGCATTCTATTAAAAAACATGAAACATTCTAAAATACAAGCATTCTTTGCTGTTTAATATTTCTTTCACATTCTAAATATCACCATATATGTCCCAAGTTTTATTATCCATAATTGTTTTCACTAAATTTTATAAGCTACATTGAAGGAAAAAAGGTAGAAGGGATATTTTTCAATAATATTTTTTTTCTTTTTTTTTTTTGGTTTTTTTCGAGACAGGGTTTCTCTGTGTAGCTTTGCGCCTTTCCTGGATCTCGCTCTGTAGACCAGGCTGGCCTCGAACTCACAGAGATCCGCCTGCCTCTGCCTCCCGTGTGCTGGGATTAAAGGCATGCACCACCACCGCCCGGCTCAATAATATTTTTTTCTTTTTTTTTTTTTTTTTTTTTAGCAATTTCTAATGAGATTTAGGCAGGCCTTATATTTTATGGTCAAGTAATCATTTGATTCTATTCCAAATGTACTTAGTATTTATTCTCTATATTCTTAATTTTTATCACATGTGATGATATAAATTTGTATTTCATTTTCTCAGCATGTTTCATTTTCTGCTTAAGTTTGACAAATTTTCTGAACTATATTGAAGGCTACTTAGCTCAAATAATATTTTCTATCAGTTTTATGATAATTAAATATTAGCTATTTTTGGGTTTTATTCACAGCTACTATACTCAAGCCATAAGTATCTTTAAAACCCTAGTCCTTGTTGATGTAGCTTCCTCTCTCATACGGTATTCCCAAGTTATTTCAAGTACAGAGGCTCTATAATGGGATGCTATGCTAAGTCCTTCCCCTTCTTGAGAGTGTAGGTGGGAGCTCATCTGGTCCTAGCAGCAGAGCTGTACTTCTCAATCCTCAGCTACCTTCAGCTTCTTCTTTCATTGCCCAGGTCTCTTTTCTTTCCTTCATCAGAACCAGAAGCAAAACAACAACAACAAACAAACAAAAAACCTTGCCTTTTGTCACCTTTCTTTCCTTCATCAGAACCAGAAGCAAAACAACAACAATAAACAAACAAAAAACCTTGCCTTTTGTCACCAGTCCTCCATCCTTTACAACTCTGGACCTCTCCTTCATGCCTTTGAGCCCTCCTGCCCAGCCTGTAGCTGAACTACTGTCACCTGTATACTCCCTCCATGCTCACCTGGAGCATGTCTTGCTGGCATTGCATTCCTTTATCTTCATTCTCTGCCAAATATGCAGAGTATATCTCTACCAGATCTATCTCTACACACTGTGTCCTTTCTGATTCCTTGTCCCACTGAAGAAAGTTTAACCTCTGGACACATAGTACTTCCTTTGAGAGTTAGAGGAAACAGTCAGGTGTGATGATGGTGCACACTGTCCTCCCAACCCTGGGGAGGTAGAGACAGGAGGGTAGTTCCTCACAGAAGTATGGGTGAGGTGTTTCTCATAGAAGTGTGGGTGAAGGGTTCCTAGCAGGAGCTTAGGTGAAGGCTTCCTCACAGAAATATGGGTGAAGGGTTCCTTGTAGAAGTGTGAGTAAAGTTCCTCACAAGAGTGGGGTGATGGGTTATTCATAGGAATGACATTGAGGGGTTCCTCATTGGAGGGTGAGTGAAGGGTTTCTCATGGAAGTGAGAGTGAGGAGTTACTCACAGAAGCATGGGTGACTCCAAAAGAGGCTGCATATGGAAACCCGCCCCCCCAAAGCTGCATGAAAGGACTTCCCAGAACCAGTCATTCTTCCACCTCCTACACATTCTGGTATCTTCCTGGACCATGTGAAGCTGGGGCAGGATTGAATGCAGTTGGGAGCTTGAGCAGGAGGAAGTGAATGGCTATAATATAAAGCAAGGACCTGATGACCCTTCTCCTGCCCATTTCTGTGAAGAAATGTTATTAAACTCAGTGTCATGTGTCTCCTGCAGGTCTCAAAAACAGTTTTGAGTTCCAGATGGCAGTGACTATGTCCTGCCTGGAGGACAGGATTCTATAGAATTGCCTCAAAAAGTAAAGAGAAGGAATATTTAACATGTATCCTTGTGTATTTATACAGAGAGAGAGAGAGAGAGAGAGAGAGAGAGAGAGAGAGAGAGAGAGAGAGAGAGAGGTAAGTGCACATTTCAGTCCCTTCTTCTACAGTGTTTATATTCTCAACAAATGCCCACACCCTCTCCCCCACTTTGCCAACCATCTTGAATGAATGGATACCATCTGATTAAAAACAGAACTCTTCTTTCAGATATGTTCTAGGGGACTTGTCACAGGAGCCAGCTCTCTTTGTCAGGTGAGGGTCAAGTGAGATTGTCATCTACATTGCTAGGTACATTAGAGACAGGCACTTTGTCTCCTGTGCTAGTCCCTTTAGTGGTCAATTACAGCAATAAAATGTTTGGGGGTCAGATATTTTAGGCAAAATATATGACCTCAGTGTATCTCAACATACCACTGGCAGGGTCCAGAGTTGGATTCTAGGTGGCATTTCTCTGCACCATCTCTCTTCCCTCCCATTCCCTTATTTATATTTTCATGTGTGTTAGTGTGCACTCTGGGATCTGTTCAGGGCTTTGGTATTTACAGTGTTGTTCAGCTTTGGTCACTGAAAGCACTATCTATTTGGCATGTTCCATCATTCTATGTTTGCATGGTTCTTTCCTTTTATAATTAAAAGATGCTCCTGGCTCATCTTGTGCATTTCCTGCAAAAAAACTGAAGCTGGTCATCTCCATAGGGAGTCTGGGATCCTTCCATAGGAAGTTGTAGAAAACAAGCTTTATGGTCTTTATTACTCAGTGTGATCTGAGAAATTCATGGGTCAAAGATGTCTGGTCTCAGGGTGAAAAGTGTCCCATGGAACCTGAGGTAGCTATAAAGCAGAAGCTGTGACTTAGGAGGATTATGAGGAAGACAGTGAGGCTTTCTTCTCCACAGGCCACAGCAGGTGCAGGACTACATGTGGTTCCAAAGCCAATGACTGAGGAGACAGCCTAGCCAAAGATCCATTGCCTAAATAACCATGGCCAAGGCCATGGTGTAGACAATCACAGACCACCAGTTTGCAGTCAGTCTCTCTGTTTATGTGTCAGGAGGTCTGGACAAACACATTTTACGGACTAATCTTAGCATAGATTCTTGGATTTGCATTGGGGTTGAAAGAAAGAATTCTTGTTTCTTCTTTCAGTAAGTGCCAAAATGAATGCTCTTGCTGTTACATTGGTAGGGGTTGCCAAAACGACCTTAGGATAGAGGAAATAAGAAACATGCTGCTTAAGAAGTGGTAAATATAGTCATCCTCCTCCTCAGCCCAGCAGGTTTCTGGTTACTCTCAATGCTCACAAAAGTGATAGCAAAGATTAAATGAAGACACAAACCTAAGGAGAGAAGGCCAACAACACAGTAAAAGATGACAGTAACAAAATTTGGATGGAGAATGCATCAGGTCAACATTTGGAAGCCCAGGGTTCCCAGATGTCTGAAAATAGTCCAATACAAAACACACAGATGAAACACAATGAGAGAAAAGAAAACTAAGATACTTGGGGAAAATAAAAGTTACCAAAAAAAAAAAAACAACTTTGAAAATGATAGTCTCAGGACATAAGAGAAGATAATACACACCTAAAATAGAAATGGGAGTTTATATGAAAAGGAAAGAGATTCAAAGAGCCAGAAAGATCCCTTGCATATTAAAAATTGATGTACCAAATCCCAGTAGTAGGATTGGGATATAATCTTGCAAAAATTTCCTAGAAAGTAGAACAGAAAAAAAAAGCTGTGGTGGGGGTGGGGGAGATCTGACAATAGTAAGATAGATAGGGGTTAAATAAGTCCACTGCCTGTGAAACTCAGAGAGAATAAAGAATAGCGAGTGAGGAATTGACTGAAAACTAAAGGCAATGTGTGTCCACAGCTGAAGGACACAGGGGTATAGACTGAAGACTGAGGACCCACTAAGGACCCAAATGGCTGGACAAAAAGAACCATCCTGGAATGGCAGCACATGGGGAGTATGAGAAGAAATCACAGAAAGCCAGGTCCCAGCTCCAGGGACTGTTCATGGATTGGCATTCTATGTGGGCTGCTGTAGGACAGGCTTTTGGAGTTTGAAGGGAAGTTGATTTCCAGTCTGGCATCTGACATCCAGATGAATGAACAACACAGTAGGAGACTGAGGACAGAATGCGTGTGTGTATGTGTGCCGTGTGTGTGTTTAAGGTGCATGTAGCACATGCATGTATGTATGCAGGTGTGTCTGTGCATAAATGATGTGCTATTATACACTGTAATCTATTAATCCCATCCTGTCCTCTAACCAACTGATTTATGTTTTTAATATTTTTATTTTATTGTGTCAGTGTTTGTCTGAATGTATGCATGTATGTGTATGCAATGCCAGAAGAGGGCAATGAATTCCCTGGAACTGGAGTTACAGATGGTTATGGGTCACCATACATGTGCTGGGAAATGAATCTGGGTTCTCTGCAAGAGCAGCAAGTGCTTTTAACTGCAGGCCATCTCTCCATTACATTAATTACATTTTTTTATGACAGAAAAATGACAAGTAATTATCTATAATATCTGGAAATGTTTGCTATATGTAAATCTGATCAATTAGAGTCTGTGAACTTCTATTGGAAAGTTTTTATTCTTCCCAAAATAAGAAGAAAATGTTGGCAAGATGAATGGTCCTTTCTCCCTTCTCAGAATACAGGTGTGGCCTCGAGGGGAGCACCAAGGATGAGGCAAGGGAAGAAGAAGGTGACTGCAACCTAGACAGTGTCACTCCATTTGAGACCTGGCCTTCCTCTCCGAGCAGAACCCCCCAGCTGTGCCTCCAGGGTTGGAGTTTAGTCACCAACAGTTGATGGTAACCAGAATGCTTGTTTTATTCACATTCTATTTTTTATGAAGCTACTCCATAGCTTCATAAGAGAATAGACTCCAGCCTGTCAGGGTGGCCATCTTAGACCAAAAGGGGCACAGGCTCCAGTGAGGAGGTTGCAGGGATTTCTTGGCATAAGACAAGCTGCTACACAGCAGGTTGATAGTCTAGAGGAACAATGGCTGGACCAAGGATTCTGTGGCTCCTAAGATAAGGCCATGGATAATGACAGAGTAAACGCTGGGAAGTTCTTCTTAAAATTAGAACGTAACTGGGTTGGACAGTGGCTTTGGAGAAAGTGTTTGTGCATTTGGACACCCCACCTTCCAGACCACATCAATAGATCATCTTAACCAGAGCAAAAAGAAATATTACTCTATCAGAGTTGGGCAGATTCTCAGTGCCTGGCATATAAAAATGAGGACCTGCATTCAGATCCTCAGGATCCATATCAAAAACCAGGTGTGACATGTATCTGTAACCCCAGTTCTGGGAAGGTGAAGATAGGTGGATCCCTGGAGATTATTACCTAACTAGTCTAGCCAATCATGTCCTCTGGGTTCAGTGAGAAACCTTGTCAAAATAGCCAAATGAATGGAAACATATCAACTATGAACCAATGGCTGAGGGGTCACCAACTGGATCAGGCCCTCTGAGTGGGTGAGACAGTTGATTGGCTTGATCTGTTTGGGAGGCATCCAGGCAGTGGGACCGGGTCCTGTGCTCATTGCATGAGTTGGCTGTTTGAAACCTGGGGCCTATGCAGGATCGCTTGGCTCGGCCTGGGAGGAGGGGACTGGACCTACCTGGACTGAGTCTACCAGGTTGATCTCAGTCCTCAGGGGAGGCTTTGCCCTGGAGGAGGTGGAAATGGGGGGTGGGCTGGGGGGAAGGTGAGGGGGGCCGGAGGGGGGAGAACAAGGGAATCCGTGGCTGATAGGTAGAACTGAATTGTATTGCAAAATAAAAATAAAAAAATTTAAAAAAAAATTTAAAGATGAGAACAGTAACTGAGGAAGACATCCAATATTGACCTCTGGCTTCCCTACACATAAACACACACATGCACACATATGCACATATAAACATACATATACACACACATACATATGTGCACACATACATATACATGCATGCACAGATATACACATGCACAGACAGAAACAGCAATGTGTGGAACCACTCGGCACTACAGAGGCATATGTTAGAATAAGGGCTGAGAGAGGAGGGCTTTGGAGATTCAGATGGATAGATGCGATGGGTGGGATGAATGGATGGAGGGATGGAAGGATGAATGGATGATGGAGGGATGGAAGGATGGATGGATGGAAGGATGGATAGATGGAAGGATTGATGGATGGATGGGTGGATAGATGGAAGGAAGGATGGATGGATGGAAGGATGGATAGAAGGATGGATGAATGGAAGGATGGATGGATGGAAGGATGGATGGGTGGAAGGATGGATGGGTGGAAGGATGTATGTATGTATGGATGAATAGATGGATGGATGGATAGATAGAAGGATGGATGGATAGAAGGATGGATGGATGAATGGATGACCACTGTTTTACTCAAACCTTTTGAAATTGCCTGATCTGTAAGTCCAAGCAAATGTGTAGTTTTGATAAAACAATATTAAAACATCATATTTTATAAGGTTTTTGTTGTTTTTTTTTAATATCCCAACCAAAGTTTCCCCTCCCTCTCCTCTTCCCAACTCCCCCACATCCATTCTTCCTCCACTGTTTTTCTTCAGATATGGGTGGGCCTCCCATGGATATCAGCCAGCCAAGGTATATCAAGTTTCAGTGAGAATGGGCTCCTTCTCTTCTACTAAGTCTGGATGAGGCAATCCAGTAGGAGAAATGGGTCCAAAGAGCAGGCATCAGAGTCAGAGACAGCCCCTGCTCTCACTGTTAGGAGTCTCACAAGAAGACCATCGAGGCCTTCTTCATATATTTTATAAGTTTTACAGGTAGGCTCATACTAATACCTTAAGTTATTTTTAATATGAAGGCTTTGTTTTTTTTATCATCTGTATTTATCTTCAGCTGTCGGTCACTGTCATTTCAGCATTTCCAATTGAAGGGCCAATATTAAAATTGAAATACATGAAAACAAAAAGATAGTTCCAGACACTGTGACTTTTCTGAGCTAAAACATTTGGAACTTGGGAGCATGATAAATACCCACAATTAAGACTGTAATGGAAAGTGACTGCAAGACATTGTGTGTTTTCAGGAACTACACTCTCAGAATTCCTGAAAACACAAGACCTATGCTATTCTTGATTTAAAACACTGCAGAAATGACCTCCATATCTTTTCTCCAAATTTTTCATTTTGAACCACAATTTTGTCTTCTTGCCACACAGCAGTGAAGTCCAGGTGTTGTCAGGGCCTTGTTCACACCTGGAAGCTCCGGAGTTGCTGCCCATTTCCAGCTCCTGATGGGCTGAGCTGCCTCCCTGGCCACATAGGACCAAAGCCATATTTCCTCGATGATCTCAGCCAGGAGTCTGTGCTCACCTCTCCCTCTTTGGGTTTTTTTTTTATGTGATTCTCCTGCTAGTCCTCTCCATAGTCATGAAGAACAGACTGAGTTGTTTACCTCCTTTCCCTGGGTCCTCTTTCACTTAATACTTTCTCCAAATAATTAGGGAATATTATATACAGGCTTCAGGTAAACATGACTGTGAACCCACTACCAGGGTGAAAACCACTTCGGAAAGGAAGGGTCTCAGGACTGCTTTCAGGCCATCACTGACGCAAAGTGGGCTAAAAATTCTTCCCTGTGTCCCAAATGTTGGTCACTCATGCAGCAAAACAACTCTACAGGCAGAAAAGCTCTCCTGCAATGCCCCAGGGTGGCTTTAGGTTAGCATTTTCAAGCTATTCAGTCAAAGCTCTTTTAGGGCTTGCTATCTTATCTACAGAAGTCAGTGTCACCCTGAGAATGTGCAGTGGCACCACAGCTCGTCAGTGAACTCTGCTCTGGGCTGGGCAGCGGCGATTAAAATACAGATGGCAAACTGTTAGCATGTGAAAGACGAATGGAAAGGAGCATTAAAGATGACAGAAATCAAATATTCACCTGGGCTACTATTATCCGCCTCCTCTTCTCTTAACTATGAAACTTGGGAGTAGCCCACAGCCAGTGCTTCTTAGCAGCATGGCTTTCAGAACACTGATCTGACCTTGGAAGAGAACTGCCTCCCATCTCCTGCACCCTGGACTGCAAGGCCAATTAAGCCCTGTGTAAGCTGCCTTTCATATCCACTTAATCCTTTTAAAGTAGTCCATTAAAGAAAAGTTAAATAGACTTCCATATGCACGTATTTGCAGGCATACAGGGAGGAAAAAAAACAACATAACAAGTGCGGTCTAATTCCAGAATACAAGGGTGATGCTTGAACCCATGAATGGCAAGGCAGTGAGACAGGGGTGTGGGGATCTGCAGATACAAGCGCCCTACCAAAGTGGAATCCTGGCACTCTGTCCTAATGGATTCCTTCCCTGCAGACTCCTTTCTCGGAATGCACCAGCCACCTTCTATGGTGTGAATGCCTAGATGGAGTCTCAACCTGTGCCAGCGGCACTGTGAGGAGATGGAGCCTAGGAAGCATCCCTCACTAGCTGAAGAACACCGCAGGGCCCTGGATGCAAGCCCTGGCAGAGTGGGCCTCAGTGGGAGGAACATGCCCAGAGGGTCAACAAGGTACTCCCTCCATCATTTTGCACAGGGCTAAAAAGAACACCAGACAGAAACTAAACCATTGGTGAAGATATGTTTTTCCTTCTTTTTGTTTTTTTTTTATTCCCCCATGGTGAATGCTTGCTTGTTTCTCGAAGAAAGTATATATTTGGGGACTAAGTGGGATCCTAGACCCTTTAGGATGACCACTGCCCAGTTCCAAAGGTAAGATTATCACTTCCAGTCTTGATTCATGGGAGAAATACTATTTAATAAATACTTAGTTTACGATGCCTCAAGTTCAGAACATAGTTAACAGCTTTTGGAATAATGCCCAAGGAAGGCTGCTATTTCATCATAGAAATGACTTTGACCTTGACTAAATATTTACAACTCATTATTTATACCCAAACACTACCACAGCTTAGGAAGCCTCCAACCCAACCTTATGGCAAAGTACAAGCTGAAACCCTTGTTCCAAATCCCCAAATCATGTGTCAAGTCCTGATCCAACTTCAGATCTTAGAGAAGATGCAGGTACACAAGTTGTACTCTGACTTCATTTGCTCGAAGGTCTGGGAGTATGGATGATCCAACACACATCCTACTGCTGAGGGTCATGTGGAGAACCATAGCAGGAAATGCTGAGTCCAGGGATGATGGACCAGCTGCAGAAGCCTGGTGTGTCTGTCCAGCAACCCTGAGTCAGAGCAGAGTATCCCTGAGCAGACAACTTCATATGAAGCATCCAGGAAATTGGATATCTGAAGTGCAGGCAAATGGTTACATACTTAGGATTTTATCATTACATGGAGCCAGAGTGCAAGAAAGAAAATTAACATGGCCTTATTGTAACTCATTATGCCACGTTAGGCTGATATTCCTGGGAGGCCTGCTCTTTTTTTTTTACTTGAAGAGGAATGGAGGAGGAGTGGATCTGGGGTAGAGGGGAGATGGGGGAGGACTGGGAAGAGTAAAGGGAGGAGAAACTGTGGTCAGGATGTAATGTACGAGAGAAGAATAAAGGAAAATTAATGTATACACTGGGATATTTCAATAGCAGAGGACACAAAACCAATAAAATCATCCATATATATATGTATATGTGTGTGTGCACATAAATATATACACATATATGCATGTATGTATATCATATCAATACACCAACATATACAGACATTAACCTAAATACAAATACATTCATATGCATACCTGAATGCACATACACATGTAGATACATACAACATAATGCATAACTACACATAAAACTACATGACCCATGCACACACATGAATGTACATACATATGTGCTTAAGAATATATACATATAATATATACACATGTGTGAGGATCTCTGTGCTGGTCAGCTTTTTTCTGTGTTGAGCACAACGTCCTGGGCAGTGGGTATATAGATAAAGATAGCGCAGACTTTATTATTTTTAATTTAATAGTGTGTATGATGTGAGTGTGTGTGTGTGTGTGTGTGTGTGTGTGTGTGTGAGAGAGAGAGAGAGAGAGAGAGAGAGAGAGAGAGAGAGAGAGAGAGAGAGAGAGAGCTGGCACACATGTGACAGAATGCATGTATTGAAGTCAGAGGGAAACAATCTTGAGTCCTTGACTTCCACCGTGTTTAAGACAGGGTCTCTTGGTAATTTTCTGTTGCAGGCTGGCTGGGCCAAAAGTTCCTAGGGATTATCCCTTCCTCGACCTCCCGTCACAGCACTGGGATTGCAGATGTTAGTGTGAAGTGTCTGCCTTTTACATGGGTTCTGGGACTTCAAAGTCCTGTCCTCGTACTGATGTGGCAAATGATTTTTACCTGCTTAGCTCTCGCCTGAGATCAGATTTTAATTTTTGATTTGGACATAGTAAGGAGATTAACAACAGTGAATAATAATACAGAAGGACAATTATAGCCACACACTATAATCTCACTAGCACCACCACATTGCACCTTGAAGCCGTCATTGAGAAAAATAAGGATGACTTGAACACAAACCTTGGAATGTGGTTATAGACCTGCTGCCAACCAAGATGGCTGCCAGGTCATTAACGTGCAGGCATCATAGGCAGGGTGGATACTCCAGACAAGGGGTAGATTCTCACTGTGGGCAAGAAAAACCATTTTATTTTACTGTTTCAAACAGCATGTTGTATGGAGCATAATCTACTTATTTATAGATTTTCCATTTAATATTTTCAGACAGCCTTTAAGCACTAGCAGCAAAAATTGTGTAAAGAGGAAGTTATTGTGTATATATGTACACACATATACACATACATATTCACATATACACACATACAAACATATAATCCACTTCTGCCACCCACAAACTTCTGCATACACATGCACACATGTGCACACATGCACACTGTTAATATTGGTCCTGTAGGCACTGGTATACAGAAGACAATAATTAAGCAGCCTTAAGTAAGGCAGGTGAGTTCATTGCCTGAACATAATCATAAAGTGTAAATTTAACTAAATAAATTTACTTCTGCTGAAAAAAAATTATACAAAGAGTAAACCTGGGGTAATTTTTGAGAGCTCCTTCATAAAAGAGTAAAGTATATTTAAGGTGAATATTCATGATTATCCACCAGAATTACTAATATTATAACAAAGAAACCTTAGCAATCAGGCCAGACAATATGTTTCAAACAGCACAGCAGGGAAGTGATTTGATGACCAAGTCGCTCTGGAGGGTCATACAATCCACACCCAACCAGCAAAGACAAAAACAACACCTTGAACAAACAACCTAAACAGAACTTTGGGGCCAGATCACTTCTGCTATACCCCAAACCAAGACAACACAAAAAGCCAACAACTAAGTCTTGGGAAGACTGAATAAGATAAATTATTGGGGGCAAGACTGAGACTGATGACCTCTACACTGGGATCGGTTGATTTAGTTGTTACAGAAGACAAGAGGAATCAGAAGAGAACACTCAAAGACACTTACAAACGGTAGTCAGTGTGTAAGATGACTGGGCAGAGAGGGACCTTTCAAGTTCTAGGCTCCACTATGTGGGGCTCACCAGTGTGTACGGAGGTTTGTCTTGTGTTCCTAGCAGGAGACGCAGCTTTACACTTTCATTTCACAGAGGCCCAAGTCATGTACAAACATAAAATCAAAATTCAGAGTGACGACCAAACTCCCATGAGTTTGGAGGCTTGGATTTGGCCCAGCACCGTGACTTCCACTCAGATTTAAGCTATTTTTAGCTCCACTATAAAATACAGAGCACCGACAAGCAGCGCTGCAAGCAGGGTCCGCCTAAAATACTAAGAGAAGTGCGAGACACACCATCTGGATAATCCAAAGGGCAAAAGAGAAAGAAAAAAACAACAAAGGAGCGGGCATCGCGGTAGACCTGCCGGCTGCAGAGGCAGAGCAGGTGGCCAGGGACAGGGACGGCAACATGCTCAGCAGAACTCCTGATAACAACATCCAGCCACTCACAAACGCAAAGCAAATGCAGACAAAAGAAAATAACACAAAGACAGACAGACAGACAGACACACACTCAGTCCCAACAGTCATAGGGGCTGCTTGGCTTTGCATCCCACAGTAGAATTCTCAAGGAGCAAAAAACGTTCTCATCAGGGCCAGAACTAAACTTCCATGCACCTAGGATGTACAGGATCCAAAGCAGTTTGCAACTTATTTAAATAAATTTTGCTTACATTTTTCAGGTGCCGTCACTGATACAAAGGAAAGCAAAATCATGCCGTTTGATTTATTTTGCAGCTCACCATCACCTGACACATTTGTAATTGTCTATAGGCACAGTTTGACCATCATCTATTAAATTTTACCTCCAAATAGGAGTCCAGGTCTAATTTTCTTTTAAGTCTTGATTTTTTTTTAAGAGAAGTTTCAAATTCACACAAGATTTTGAGGGTGGCACAGAGGTACTCTAGTGTTCCTGCAAATTCAGAACCTTCCATAGTCAGCATGTCCCTGAAGCATGGTCAGATCCATTCAACATAGGTCTCACCTCTTCACAGAATCCACAGTGACACCTAATGAACACTACTGTGATGGGCTCACAGAAACCTTCCTAGCTTCCTCTTACTTTGGGGAACAAGATCAGTCTCCGTGCTAGTCTCTGGATGCCTGTGCTTGGCACTCTGTGGACCCTGCACCTTCCCACAGAACACACTGCCTCTCTGTGAAGGGTGCTTGATGCTGCAACTAGGAGTCTGTCACCAGAACCAAGCAACATTGCACCTGTGCCATGACCGCAGCCAAACAGAAGTGATGAGAGCATGTGTCCCACGTGACTTCAGGTGCAGAGAGGTAAAGAAGAGTCAGAGTCTCCGAATGTCCTCTTTGCAGTTCGGTACCTGCGTGATCTTGGATGGGTCACTTCATGCCTCTAAGATGTGATAATATTAAGTCCCACTGCCTCACACAGATGTTCTGAAGTGGAGTAAGATTTTACAAAGCCCAGCAGCAAAGTGCTCCACAGCCCGTCTAAGTTCTTCTGTTGTGAAGACACAGCTGCCACCACAATTTCTGCAAAACAGCTCACTTGGGCCAGGTGGGCATTCCAAGGAGTGCTTAGCCTTCCAGGGAAGAGTTATTGTCTTGTTGAGGACATGCAGAGTGGCTCCTGGGTTGGAGCAACATAGAGACCAGAAGTCTGGGATGAAGCATATTTAACATCCTAGCTCCAGCTTCTGTATCTGCCTAGATGCTGTCTAGAACTATCCAAGCATTTACATGGAGCAGACAGTTCTTCATGAAGGGATTCAACCTTCCCCCTTTGGTAGTGGTGATATTATGGCTGGTTGAGTTTAGAAGTTGAAGCCTGGACAAAGCTGACAGGCTCTGGACCCACCAGCTCATTTCATGACAAATTCTGACACAGAGATTCATAATTGCACCTGGAGCCATGTATGTTTCAGAAAGCATCTTGGTCCAAACACTTAGGATTCACTTTCAGAATTAACTCAGTAACATCATGTGTCCAAAACCAAACTACCCAAACAAAATCAACAAAGATGAGAAAGCCCATGATTCATACCCCTTGTTCATGTAACAGCCACATGCCAAGTATATTCTAGCTTCTTAGGAGGCAAAGGTGTAGACAGTCAAGTCTCAGAAACTTTGAGGCTCATACCATGTCCAACAAAACTGTTGCTCAGTTTTGTTGAAATCTCAAAATAGGTGCTCATAAAGACTGTCCAGACATTATCAAAGTATAATCACTAAGCACATTCAGAAAGTGAGACCCAGGGACAGCAGGACCCTGTAACCCAGTGGAGTCACATTGCACCCAGAGAGCAGACACAGGGCAGAATCCCTGGGTGAACCAGCCTAGGAGGTCAGTTACAAGCTTAATGTCAGCATGTACTAAGAGCGTAGCCTGAAGATTCATGAGCTGGTGAGGGTAAAAATAATAGACAGAAAAAGAAATATCTAAAGAGCAACTATGAACAGAATTTTAAAATAGGTAATAGATGATTCAGTCCCAAAACTGAAAATATGAGAAATACATTGAGACTTTTTTGCACACTGAAAGAAGTTGAGATGAAGTGGATGACAGAACATCACAATCTGAGGAGAATAAGTGATTAAAAACTACTATAAACAGTCGTACTGACAAAGACCTCAACAAGATCACCAAATTCCTAGAATACACATTTCCCCAAAACCAATGCAAATAGAAGCAGAAAACTGCAAGAATCATTGTAGAAATGGACCACTGAAAACACTCCTTCGAGGACATCCCAGAGCCGGAGTCTCATGCTTTTGTGGTGAGCAGAGCCTACTTGCAGGAAGGGGCTATGCCCCAGCTACAGCGAATATCCCAGCGTATACAAAGAGAAGGTAACCTCAAAGTTACCACAGGTGTAATTAAAACAAAGACAAACCAAGCACCAGGCCGAGCTCCGGGAGTCCAGTTGAAGGGAGGGAAGAGGGATTCTATGAGCAAGGGGGCGGGGGGGTCAAGATCCTGATTGGGAAACCTGGACAACTCAATCAAGCTCATAGGAACTTACAAACTTTAGACCCACAGCTGTGAAACCTGCATGGGACCAGACTAGACCCTCTGCATACAGGAGATTGAAGTGTAGCTGGGTCTGTTTGAGAGGCCCCTGGCAGTGGGATCAGTATCTGACCCCAGTGCACGAGCTGGCTTTCTGGATCGCATTACCTATGGTGAGACACTTTGCTCACCCTTGATGCAGCAAGGAGGGGACTGGTCCTGCCTCAACTGAATGTACCAGGCTTGGCTGTCCCCCCATGGAGAACTTACACTTTTGGAGGAAGGGATGAGAGGTGGATGGGGGAGGGCAGGGAGAGGGGGAAGATGGCGGGGAATGGGAGGAGGGATGAGAGGGGGAATCTGTGGTTGTTATGTAAAATGAATGAAAAAATTTTCTTAATAAAAAAATAGAAAATGAAAAAAAAACTTAAAAAAGTCAAACAAAATGCCCCAGCAAGGGTAGATGAAAAGACCCATTCCTGATAAAGAAATAGATGAGAAATTTGAAATAAAATATTAGCAAACCCAGTAACCTCTGTATGTGTGAACATTTAAATGATTCAAAATCAAGAACCAAACTAGATATTTTCTAGAAGTACAGTTTTAACTAAACATTTCCATATCATTATACATAAAATGTAAAATTTACATATTAATATAGAAACTTTTAAAAATATTTCCTGAGATGGAAGTCTAATGTGAACTAAAGTTCCCGGGAAAAAGTCAGAACTATGATAATTTCTAAGAGGCTAAATCGACTGACTTAAGACTTGTTGATTAGAGAGTTGGAATGTGGCAGATCCAGAGTCTAGTTGTCTCCGGCTAGCTCTACTCCCCCTAGTAGATTCTGTTGTATGTAACATCTAGGCAAAGGCATTTGGACATGTTCTTAGCAGACCTCTAGCTTCTGTGAGCCTTCCCTTGTTTATTTGTTTAGGATTCAAGCTTTCTGAATTTATTCCAACCACGGCGCCCAAGCCATTGGGTCAAGGTGAGTTGAAGAATACCCACAGTGCTAGGCATGACTGTGAATCTCTACTTCAGACATGTGTGACTGGGGCAGAGACTTCCTGCTTCACTCTGACCTTTCCTCCTGCTGTTTCTGCCCATGTATCTGTCAAATACACTGATGTGCCACTTTCCTGTGCTCTGTGACTATGAAAGGTTCATGCAACCCTTACCCAGTTGGGACATACCTTGAGGGACATGAACACATATGTCTCTATTTCCAGGTCCTGTTCATTCACACTTGGCTCAAGAATAAACTATGTCTTACTCCCTTCTAGGTGAGGCCCGTGTTTTGACAACAGTTAGGACATAATCATTTTAAATTGGATTTATCTGATTATCACACTGTGCCTCATAAATATGTGTAGTTAAAACAATGATAATAATAACAAATAAAATACCCAAATTAAGAAACTATTTGACCACCTCAATAAAGAAATTCTAATATCTAATTATTCCTGGGAGGAAAAACCAAACCAACAATAACATTTTTAGCAGAGGATATGAAAACTTCATGCAATTTTTGTATTGTTAGTCTAAATTATCATTAAATTATTTATTAAGGAAATATATTTAAAAGATATAAATGCAAAATGATCAGGAGACAGAAGGGAGGGAGACACATGTAAAAGACCTTTGTCCCCATATCCCCAAGGCTGCCCCAGGATGTCGTTGCAATCTGCTGCCCGGGCAGTGCCTGTGCAGGATGGTTCCATCTGAGGTCCCTCCCCCAAAATCAAAGAACCAATCCAAAGAGTTGGCTGAAAGGCAAAGTTAAGTAAATGACATATCTGATAAATCTCACCGTCAAGAGTCACCTTGAAAGAAAGAAAACCAGCTTAATTTCCTGCTGTGTCTCCAGGGCCTTAGCAATGGTGTCTCAGTTACATACAAGGCAGCCACAGGGTTCTCGGGAGTTTCAGGGGCCGTCCAACTGCCCATAACACCAGCCAGTAGAGCCATTGCCTGCTCTTCCCTGAATCACTGTGTAACTGCAGGTCCCCCCCTTCACCTGAGTCTGCTGTACCTGAGACATCATCATGCTGTCTGCCTTAGTCAGGTTTCCGTTGCTGTGAGAAAGGGCTTATTTCAGCTTACAACTCTCAGGTCACACTTCATCTCAGAGGAAGCAGGGCAGGAACTCAAGCAAGCAAGGAGCCTGGAGGCAGGATTTTAAGCAGAAGCCATGGACGGGTGCTGCTCACTGGCTTGCTCACTCTGCTTTCTTATACAATCCAGAACTACCTGCACAGGGATGGCACCACAGTGAACTGAGCCCTCCCACATCAATCATGAATCAAGAATATACCCCAAAGGTTTGTCTGTAGTGGGTAGACGTTCCAGCTTTGACCTGGATATACCACCCCCTTTGAGGCTTCAGTAACTGTCACGCCTACAAGGCAGAGCTGAGAGAGGACCCCTGAAGACCCAAGATCCAGATGGGGGACCCTGGATGCTGGAGGTAGACCAAGCAGAGTTCTCCAGAGAACACTGCTGGACTGCATTACACCTTTCCCAGACCCTGTTACTTATCCCTTCACTTGTAAGTTACCCCACAAAATAAACCTCTCTTTTAACTACGTGGAGTTGCCTTAATAATTTCACCAATATTTGTCCATTTGTCCATAGGCCAATCTGATGAAGGCATTTTTCTCAACCAAGGTTCCCTCTTCCCAAATGACTCTAGCTTGTGTCAAGCTGACATAAAACTAACCAACACACTGTTGGAAACTTCAGTCAGATAAAGATCTTGGCCTTAACATTTTTATTTCAACTGTAGTAAGAACCATATCCTCACAGTGTTGCCTAAGACCCTGCCCAGACTCTTCTCTGCATACACACTCCCAATGTGTTCACATACACATGCACAACCAGAGAGAAACTCATTTCACATAGATATGTGACATTTGCACTATCCATCCCTGACACACCAGATTGTTGCCACTTCAGAGCTGGGAAAAGTCACTCCCTCTGCTCCTGTCCAGATGTCCACACACTGGGCTCCACATTTAACTCTTCAATAGTCTACTAGAGATGGCCTCTTAATGAGTCCCTCGCTAGCCATCCAGTGTAAATGCCAACTTTGAGTGGCATTTACATTGAGGGGTCTTTCATTGCAGGTTCCTGGCTGGCACTGGAGAGTTCTTTTTCCTTAGGAAGTTTTTGTCACTATAATCTGGAATGCCTTTGTGCCTCACTCTTTTTTCATTTTTAAAGATTTGATTTAATACTGTTATGACCCATGGTTTTTAAATAATAGCAACAATTATAAAAAAGAATACATGGGTCACTGAATCATTCTTAGTGTCTCACTCTTACAGCAAGTTCAAATATGTTTTCTGTCTCCTCCCCAAATTTTCCATTTCCTCATCCCTTCTTAGCTCCATGAAGGATAAGGCCATGTTTTCTTACCACTGAGAACAAAGCGTTAGCACAGGGCCTTTTCCTTTTCACTCAGGGTGACCACCCGGGCAGAGTCACCATCACTGCCCTGACCATTCCAAAGCACCTCGACTCAACAACTAAACAATTCTTTCTCGAGTTTAAATCATGCTCCAGTCTGTTCAAAGTCATGAAATTACTTACTTCATTAAAAACAGAAGGCAAATCTTCATTATTGGTGTTGAGAGTTTGCTGTGTCCTACTCCAGTGACTCCATATTGTACAAGTGGTGGTTTTAAGACTGTGTCTGGTCCCAGGAGACTCCATTTTGAAGGATAAAAGACTGCAGCCCCTGGGTGAACACAGAAATCACATCATCTCTCAGGTACCACCTATCCAGCACAGACTGATACATGGCTCACTCCTGAAGAGTAGAAAGGGAACCGCCTTGTAAGTTCACTGGGGGAGAATTAAGATGATAGAGGCTTTGGCTGACTCAGTTTCCCTCCTCCCACCACGGATGCAGCCTACTCAACTGCTCATTCATCCACCTATTCACTCACCAGGATCTGGATCTAAACTCTCCGTATCCTATTCTCAGACCCAAGTTTGGCCTTTCATCTCACAGCCGAAACAACTTTGCTCTCAAACTCCAATTCCAGCAGCAACAGATAGATGCAGCCTCTTCCTACACTGGTGTGGTTCCTTATCTTATCTACACAGACTCCTTCTCAGATCACTTCTGAAACCTCTTGAGCTCTACCGTAGCCTTTCGGTTTACATTCACTCTGTAACCCATATAAATTTGTGTGTGTATGTGTGTGTGTGTGTGTGTGTGTGTGTGTGTGTGTGTGTGTGTGTGTGTGTGTACAGATATGTAGACATGTTTACAGTATGCCGAGTGATGTGAGAGCTAATATTAGCAATTAAGACTGGAATAAAAGAACTTGCATTCATCTCAACCAGGCTACCAAGTCAGGTAGGATTTTATGACAAATTGCTGTCACTGAGAGAGCTAAAATTTGTAAACTTTACTATTATTTAATACATCTAGCTTTGTGGAAAGACACAAACATGTTTATGTTTCTGGCATAAAGTGCTCATAACAAGTGGTCTGCAAAGCCCCATGTGACCTGGTTTTTTCCCTTCTTCTCTGGTTGCACATCCAAATATTTTTAATGTATTTTTCAATTAAAATATAATTACATCACTTCCCTTCTCTTCTCCCTTCACCCTTCCTATAGTCCCTCCCTCCAATCTTCCCTATGCTCCCTTCTCAAGTTGATAGCCTCAGTTTCTTTATTATCATTACGTGTATGTATATATGCACAAATATAAATATAGCCTGCTAAGTCCATTTTTGTTGTTTATGTATGTATGATTTCAGGGCTGACCATGTTACATTGGATAACCAATTAGGGTGCTCATTCTAGAAGAGACTAATTCTCTCTCTCAATAGTTATTAGCTGTCTGTAGTTCTTTGTCTAGGTGTTTTTTGTCCCTTCTGAGTTAGCATCCCTTTTGGTATTGTCATTGTTCAAGTCTTGTTTGTGCAGTCCACTTTAGGAGACATAGTCTCACTGCAGACTCCCTGGTCCTCTGGCTCTTACAATCTTTCCACCTCCTCTTTGGTGATGTTCCCTAAGCCACAGGTACAGGAGTTATGTTGTAAATGTATCCATCCATTGAATCATATTATGTCCAATCGAGGTTTTCTGTGTGCTACACATGTACAAAGAGTTAATGTCCAGAGTCTACAAAGAACTTAAAAGACAAGAAAATAAATTGTTCAATTAAAACGTAGGCTAGGGATCTGAACAGACAGTTCTCAACCGAAGAATAAAAATACCTAAAAGATATTTAAGAAGTGCCCACCATCCTTTGCAATTAGGGAAATAAAAATTTAAACAACTTTGAGATTTCATTTCACCCCATTAGAATGGCGAAGATCAACCAGATGACTGACATCAAATGCTGGCAAGGATGTGGGGAAAGAGAAACCCTCGTTCACTGTTGGTGGGAATGCAATGGGTGCAGCGACTCTGGAAATAAGCACGTAGATTCTTCAAAATGCCAAAATAAATCTATCATAGGACCCAGCTATACAACTCCTTGGCATATGCCCAGAGGACTCAACACCCTACTCCACAGACACATGCTCAGCTGTGTTCATCACTGCCCTAGTCACAATAGCGAGGAAATGGAAACACCCTAAGTGTTCTTCAACAGATGGATGGAGAATGAAAGCATGGTGCATATATAGGATGCTATTCAGCTGTGAAGAAAAAAATCACAAAATTTGTAGGTAAATGGATGGGTCTAGAAAAGATCATACTGAGTGAGTTATCTCACATCCAGAAGGACAACTGCCAGATGTTCTCTCTCATGTAGTTCCTAGCACCAAATCTTCAGATGTGAGTATAAAACCCAGAGTAACCTCAGAAACCAGGAAAGGATGAAGGGACTACAGGGGAGGGGAGGGACTGGGAGTAGCAATATATAAGTGATATTAATGGGGGAAATAGTGAGGGGGCTGTCACTGGGAAGAGGAAAAGGAGGTCAATACAGAAGGAGAAAGAGAAGGGACAAATAACATCAACAGTCTTAAAGAATCGTATTATTTTACGTTTACATATACATACTACATACATGCTAAAGACATATATATACACACACACTCACATATATGCTTCACACACACACATATATTTACACATTACACACACACACACACACACACACACACACACACACACACACACACACACACACTTTAGCCAAGTTATGCCACCTAGGCTGACAATGCTCCCCACAAGAGCCACAGACTGTCCTTGTTGGCTTTTTGTCTACTGACACAAGCCAGAGTCATTTGGGAAGATGGACAAAAATGTCCCCACCAGACTGGCCTGTTGGAAAGTTTGTGAAGCACTTTCTTGACTAGTTATTCAAGGGGAAAAGCACAGACCACCGTGGGCTATGTCTCCCCGGGGAAATGACCCTGGTTATTTAAGAGGAAGGCTAAGTAAGTCATGAGGAGTGAGCCAGTGTTCCTCCCTGGTTCCTGCTTCAGTTCCTGCATTAAATTCCCACCTTGGCTTTCTCTGATAATGGATTATCAATTGTAAGATAAAATAAACCCTTTCCTCCACAAGTTGCTTTTGGTCATGATGTTTTATCACAACAAAGAAATCCTAACCAAGACACTATCTAACAAAGACTTCTGTACCAGGCATGAGAAACCTTTGTCTGGGTTGTTGGTGAGGCTATAGTCAAAGAAACTCCTCAAACAACATAGACCACTGCTGTGGCTCTTGGATGACTCTCAGTTGTTGAGGTATGCTGAAGATCTCATGTACTTAGAACATAGAACTTGCATTATTGGGCTGGGTCTGACTTGAAAACCTCCACCTTTCTATGTGGTCTTCCCTACATAGTACAAGAAAATATTATGCAGGCTGCTAGGAGAAGGAAGAAATCAATAGTTCTGTTTACTTATAACCCCCATGAATCACAGCCATGACCAGCATGGCAAGAGAGCTCTAAAGGTACAATACGGACACTCACATGTTGGAAGTAACCAATAGTTGTCCTAATTGGACTTAAGCTCCACTTAGTAGAAGGAAACTCATGGTGTTGAAAATCTAGTCAACTATCCAAGGCTCATGGGATCAAAGATCTACCACCTACCACCCCCGTCTAGAGAATGCCAAACTACATTCTAACACTTAGCTTTACACCCACAGGTAAGTGTAACTCTTACTCACCATCAAAGAACCTTCTTTCCGTAGCAGATGGAGACCATCACAGAAAACCAAATATTCTTTGATCTCCTCATCTAGCCCCAATCACTGCCTCCTTACTATTCCCCCAGCAAAACATGAACTCTTGTTCTCCTCTTTGTTCTTTCTCTCCCTCCACCCTCACACATGTACACATGTGTGCACACATACATGCATATAACCATTCTTCCCCCTTTCACATGTCCTTGGTGCTGTCTGATTTGGAGTTACCTTTCTTTCTCCTTCTTTGGCCTCTTTAACATCTCTCTGTCTTATTTTTCCCATAGCACGTTCTATGTCATCACACCTCCTAGAATGAAGTTTACTTTATGTGTTTCATGCTGTGACACATTTCCTGTGAGCCAGGGAGTTCTACGCTTCTGCACACAGCAAAGAGCCTGGTACTGAGCATAAAAAAGTGCCCAGAAGATTCTGCCATGGGAACGGATAATCAGAATTTGAGAAGCATTTTGGGTGTCTTTTGGAGCTCTGAAAAACAAGGTTATTTGAATGGCTGAGACCCTCAAGATCCGACAGTCAGGAATTTACCTGCTGCCACATCCGCGCTCTGCTTGGACCACACTTCAGGCTAAACTTAAATTATCTTCTTGTGGCATACTCTGGAAGGCACTCGCCATTTGCTGCATTGTCCCCACAGGATAACGTATTCCTAAACATCAGGATGACAGCCTCCAAGCTGACTTATGTGCCATGACGCAGTGTTGCAGGGCTCCTTCCCCATGATTTCTGGCTGCATGTGTGCACTTCTATGAGCCATAAGCCAGGTGTCTAATTGGAGCTCTCTTCCGATTAGCTGCACAAACTGGAGCAAGTGCCTTCATTCCTCAGTTTTTCTTGTCTACAGAAATTGAAGTTTGTATCACGTGGTGTCTGACATTCTCACCAGCAAGACCATTACATCCTTTCAAAAGGTAATAAACCATTTTAACAGAATTAGAAATTACCTCATTAACCCTTGATTTCACAGAACTTACTAGGTTATTTTAGAAGTACAGAAGTCTGTAAAAGGACTATGGAGAGTGGGCCACAAACAAGTACTTGTTGGGTCCACCCAAACTCATCTAACTTCCATGGAGTTCTCAAAGAGGTGAAGGAGTGGGTCTTTGTATAATTCAATGGCTAATGAGTAACCTCTTTGATATGTTATTTCATTTCCTTTGAATATATATACCCAATAATAGGATTGATGGATCATTGGCAGCACAGACCACAAAAGTAAAAATATACAAATGGAATTATGCCAGACTAAGATGATTCTATCCAGCAAAGGCAGCAGTCAATAGAGTTAGGAGACAACTTATAGAACTAGAGAACATATGTGCAAACTGTTACTCCAAGGGGTTCAAATACAGACAATATGAAAGTGCAACATGTTATCCAATGAGAACGAATAAAGATCTGAGTAGATGTAAATCAGAAGACATCCACATGTTCAACATGCCTCATCACCAGGGAACTACAAGTCAAAAGGATCATGGAATATCACCTCACCCCAGTCAAGGTGGCTGTCACCCAAAAATAAAAACAACAAATGCTGATACAGGTGTGGAGAAAAGGAAGCTTTAATACAGAGTTGGGGCAATGGAAGTCAGTGCAGTCCAGGCAGAAAGCTATGTGGATTGCTTTAAAATTAAAAATAGAACTATCAAGGGGGAGAGAAGTAAATTGAAAACCCCAAACAATGGCTTACAGTTACATACTTTATGTCACTCTGCAAATGCTCTGGAACAACAACAACAAAAAAAAATAATAATCTATGAACTCGGCAGCCATAGCTTAACAATGCAGTCGGTGGGCAAGGGGAGAGGATACTCAGCTCCCATGGAGACAAAAGTGTATCCTTAGTACATAATAATTTCCTAGAATCCCAGGCTTTTACAAGTTACCAATTTGCAATGTAATTATCTTCTTGTCTGGGCCTCTCATGTGCTAGGCAAGCACTCCAACACTGAGATGCATTCCTAGCCTTCTTTGTACTGTTTTACTTTGCAACAGAGTCTCAATAAGTTGCCTAGGCTGGTCTTGAACTCTTTCTATAGGCCAGGCAGGCTTTGAACTTGCAATTCTCCTGCCTCGGCCTCCTGAGTAGCTGGGATAACAGACCTGAGTCATTTGTCCTAGCTGCATTTAATAATTTAAAAAATAAAACATTACTCCCATGGGTTACCATAGAAAGGTTTCAGGAAATTAATGGTGAAGATAATCCAGGCAAGCTCCCCTGGAGAGTTCATGACAGGAGAGGCAAATGCCATCCAGTGGGAATACATGCCCAACAGATGGGTTTCACTCCCTTCCAGGCCTTCCTTACTGTCTTTCCTCCTCAGCACCCCATTTCCATCTGCACTTCAGGCTTATGTCAGACAAGATACAGGAAGAAGTTGCTGTGATGAACCACTGTAGGAGACTTCTGCATGACGCAGCTAGTACAGACCCATAAGAACCACCGGCCTCAGAGCTGTCTTAACTGCAGATGACAAAAGCAGCCCTCTCTCCGACTGGCTTCTAAGACACACTTTGCGCTTGTGTGCTCATAAAGCACCCTGGGTTCTGCAGACTTGTGGTACAAAGTGCTGCTGTCTGAATCTGGATTATTTGTACTTAACTTGATATGCTCTGGGTTCAGCATGTTAACCAGACACAAGGTAGAATGGAGGGGTCTGAATGGAAGGAGGCTGGCAAACAGGTACAAAACACAACTGAATAGGAGTGATGAGTTCTGGTATTCTTCTGTGTTCCAGGATACTCAGAATTAATAGCAGCATACCATCCACTCCAAAATAACTGGAAGAGAACTTTCTTGGTAATAAAATATATCCCAATTAATTCTACTATGGTTTGTACATGCAGTCTATAAAATCCTGGTCATATAAAATATGGTGAGTCCCAATTAATAACTCCATAGATAGTGTGTTTTACTAAATATTTCATAACTGCTTAAAATTATGAGTATTCTACAATAACGTATGTTGTGTTTTTAGACACCTATTAATATTGGCTCAGACTGCTGTAACAACATGCACATACTGGATGTCTTAACAACACACATCTATTCCTCACAGCTCTGGAGGGAGGCAGTAAACTCATGATCTGTGCAGACATATCTGGGATCTTTCGTGGTCTCACACAGAGAGGGATGCAGCTTTGTGGGGCCTTTGAGGTCTCCCTTAATCCTTATCACCCCTTAAGGGCTCTGTCTCTAATGCTTGCCCATCAGGGACTCAAAATACTAATTCGGGGGATATATAAACATTCATTCTCTACAGTTAAAAAAAAATGACTATTTAATCCATTAAGAAAAGTATGCTTGGTGACCCTATGATTGTGAAATTGCCAGCTTTTCCCTTTCAATCCTTTTCTCCATGTTGGGTAACTGCCTTGGGAGTATTCCTGATGTTACAGGCCTGTATTTCACAGTCCACATTACTTTTAGATATTTTCAATCATCACTTTCTCAGGTATTTCCTCTGTCCCTGGATTGCTACCTACTTTTTCTGTTGCTCCAGGCACATGCCTTTTGACCTGTGAACTCTGTCGTACAGCCCCAGGGTCTTTTGATTGCTCATTGTCCTCCCTTGTCCCCCTGGCCCTCGGGGTGACTCAAGCCACGTACCTTCAAGGGCAAGGGGTCCTCCCTCAGCACTGTGAGGTCCTCTGAGGAGTCCATTCTCAGCATCCATTTAGAGTCCTTTCATGTCTAGGGTTTTATTTTAGTGGTTTTTTTTTTCATCATTTCTGTCTCTGCTAAATTTTTACCATCTGACCTTGCACAGCATCCACCATTTAGACACAAGACGCACAGAACATGCCCACTCATATCCATTCTCCCAATGCCCAATCCTGCCGTGCATCTGTGTACTTCTCACCATTATTTGTCTGTTTGCCGTTTTGCAGATTTTCTTCTCAATTTCTTTTCTTGCTGTATGTTCTGGTTGAATGTCCCCTGAGCCTGAGGTAGTTGTTTTGCCTGGATGTGGACTGCCCTTCCTTCTGCTGTTAGTTTGGGATTTGACTCCATCCCACTGGCAGAGATTCAAGGATTTGTTGGGACAGTGATCAGTGAATCAAAGACAGTGTCACACCTGAGATCCCAAACCAGATGCATTTTCTACTTTTCGTTGCTCCTGCTCCATGTCTTACTAGGAATTCTACCTAGAAGAGAAGTTATTTATAGGTGCTATGACTTTGTAAATAAAAATAGAAATATTTAAGGTTCATTTCATTTTTTTTTTAATAAGTGTAATGATGTGTGTTGGGGGGAGAAGTCAGAGAATAACTCATAGGAGTCAATCCTTTTCTTCCACCATGTGGGTCCCAAGGACTTTTATACCCTGAGCTGACCTGATAGCCCTCATAATTGATAATAATTAAAATACTAAAACAAGACATAGTGACATATGCCTGCAATCCCAGCACTCAGAAGGAAAAAGTGGGAGGATTTCTACATGTTCAAGGCCAGTCCTGGTCTCCACAAATCCCAGACCCAGTCATGACTATACAGTGAGGCTCTGTATCAATCTCATCTCCCTGAAAAGAAAATATAAATTAAAATATTAGATTAGAAAGTTGCTGAACTAGCATTCTATTTTAGTCAGGAAAAATAAGCTGAAAAAATAGCAATAAAAGAAATATTAACCATGTTCTTCACAATAAACCTAACTCTAGAACAGTGATTCTCAACCTTCCTAATGCTGTGGCCCTTTAATACAGTTAAATACACCTCCTGTTGTGGTGACCCCCCGACCATAAAGTTATTTTCATTGATACTTCATAATTGTAATTTTGCTACTTTTATAAGTCGCAATGTAAATATCTGTGTTTTCTGATTGTCTTAAACAACCCCTGTGGAAGAGTCATTCAATCCCCCAACGGGACATAAAGAAACTCCAAGTGTGTAAGTAACAGACAACCCAGAAGAGAGAAATGGACCAGGTATCCATGGGACATCTGGGAAAAGAGGGATGCCCAGAGATGGATGGTGTCCCTCTCCTACCACAGCTCCAACCTGTGGTGACATATTGTGTACCCTGATAAAGCTTGCCTGAGGATCAGAGGACAGAGCCAGCCACTAGATTAGATAAAAAGGCCAGATAGTGGTAGCACACACCCTCAATCATATCACTTGGGAGGCAGAGATCCCTCTGGATCTCTGTGAGTTCAAGGCCACACTGGAAACAGAGCCAGGCAGTGGTGGCACACACCTTTAATCCCAGTACTGGGAAGCACACACGCCTTTAATCCCAGAAAGTGATGTTGGGGCAGAGAAAGGGATATAAAGGCATAAGGAAACAGGAACTCACTCTCTTTAGGCTAAGGATTTTGTAGAGGTAAGCTAGTAACTGGCTGTTCTGCTTCTCTAATCTTGCAGCTTTCATCCTGATATCTGGTTCTGGGTTTTATTATAAGACCTTCTAAGATTTGTGTTATACCAACCAAGTCTTATCTGTAGCCTGGATGCAAGAGCATAGCTTGGAGCTGTCCTAGACCAGGCTTAGGTTGGAATGTAAAGGGCTTGAGGGACTGGGGTTGGCAATGGAGAAACTGTAAGGCGAAGCTATCACTATTGAAATCTGTGTCCTGGTGAGTGACTCTGGCTGCTGGAAGAGCTGCCATTTCAGAATGGATCCCCAGAGAACACACTCTTGGCAAATAGGTTCTCCACAGTGGAAAAATGACCTCCAAAAAACTGCTCTACGAGATGGGCATGGTGGAATATACCAGTAATCCTAACACATAGGAGGCTGAGGCAGGAGAATTATAAGTTTGAGGCCACCCTGAACTACATATCAAGATTCAGTTTCAATATACATAAAAAGGGGAAGGGAGGAGGAGAGGGAGGGAGGGAAGGAGGAGAGAGAGAGAGAGAGAGAGAGAGAGAGAGAGAGAGAGAGAGAGAGAGTTTTTAGATAAGAGCTATGACATCTCTTCTGGAATTTGATGACATTCTGCTATTCTCTGAACTCTAAGTGGGGACGGAAGAGTTAGGAACTTTCAAGTCAGTGCATGGAGGGGTGGACCAGAGATGGGACATCTAACAGGTAGATTGTACCTGGTGAATCAGAGAAGGCTTAGGGGCAATGCTTCATGAGAAGGACCTGCAGGGTGAGTGGATACTCACAACACACAGATAAACCTTCAAGCAACAGTGGTGGGTAACAGTGATCCTGAAGGGCATCAGCATCTAAGCACCGGTGGAGGCCAGGAGGCTGGATATCAGGAGACCCCAGGATCCAGATATCTGTCCAGTAGGGAAAGCCAAGAGAGCAGATGGAAGAAAACCCTGGGATCTGATAGTCTGAGGAATGGAGGAGGCTGAGAAGGCCAGGCAGAAAGAGAACTGATCACTGCAGAGGACAAGGCCCAGTATCATAGACCCTAGCAAAGCACTAAGCCTGCCTCACACATGTCTAGATGCAACTAATGAATAGATGTTGGGCAAAATACAGGGCACCAGTATAGGAGAGACTGAAATCCCTCTGTCAAACTCTGGAGGAGTTAGCACTTGAAGTTAAAAAAAAAAAGAAAGATGGGAGACTGTGAGGGGAAGTTGGTTGGTCCAGAAGAGAAACATATAGAGCGTGAACAAAGGAGGGTGTGCACAGAGAGTGTGGAGCCTTGGTATAGGAACTGCCATTGCCACCATGACAAGCCTTAACTACTACTGGATGTCTTCTTTATTCTAACCCTTCACTTCCATGCATGGGTGCATTCCACCTCAGATGCACACTCATGAGAAGAACATTAGCACTCTACCCATTTAAAGGGTGAGGACACAGCTCTCCACCACCATTGCCTGCTCTAAAAGAGCCCCATACTTAGTTTAAAATTTTCTAGTAGCTATGTAATTGAAAATTTGTTTTAACAATATATTTTATTTAATGGAGTAGATTCTAAAACATCGTATTAACATTTGATCTACCTAAGTCTATCAGTGTGATATCTGTGTTCCATTTCTATATGAAGTCTTTTATATTCAGCATGTCCTCTATACTAACAACACACAGCAATCTCAATGTCAACTTTTAAAATCAGAAATAAGACTTTATTTTAATCTCATACTTTAAAAAGGTGAGTCATATCTCCAAGACATCTAAACATGTCTATATGTTTTCCAACAACTGAAGGGAGCTCACCTTTTATGTTTAAATTAGTTAAGTACAATTGAATATTCAAGTCCCCTGGGGCACACATGTGGCAATAACTGCATGTGGCTAGTGGCAGCTATGTGAGAGTTCAGGTTCTCAAAAGCTAACCACATCCCTCGTCTTTAAATGCAAGTAATAATGTGAGGCTTGAGCCTTGGCTCTCTGTCTCTGACAGCTGTACCTTAAACATTCCAGCCCTTGGTAAACCACTCTGCCTCATGGGAGTCTATCTTTTCTATGCTTCAAGATGGTTCCTGACACCCCTGCCTAGAAGGAGATTCCTGTGTTCATTGTTTGGAGGCTTCTCTCCTCTTCATACTGAAGGTTCCATGTAATCTACTTGGAGCAGCATCCCTGGCCCATCTGCCCTCAAGTACTCTCTGTGTTCCTCACATGGTATCACAAAGGCCTGGTGCTTACCTGGACAGACAATGTAAACCAGAGATTTAAATGTATTTGGTGCCTTCTTCTCCATAAGAGTGAATGCTACCTGAGTGTAGAGTTAGGGCTTGTTACATCAGCGGGCCCACCAAGAACAATACGTAAGTATTCAATGGGGATAATGTATCTCTAGACATGCCTGGAGGGTAAAATCAAATAGGGTTAGGGTGGTGTCCAGGCACCCAAATGGGCTAGGTGCATTCATTATAGTCATTGACAGGGCCAAGATATGGTATTTTAGAAGAGTGGTCCATATGAACTCTTGGACTCTTGCAGATCTTGTGATGAATGGCAGAGAGATTAGGGATGAAGTGGGCTAAAGTGACAAATGTATTTCATTAAGCTCAAGCACATAACACATGACCCCAAAACATCAATGTGCCATGAAACTGAAGTCTGACTCAGTGAAGTTCGGGTCTACATTTTCCCAGATGCATCTCTGGAATTCAACACCACCACCCAGGGCTTTGGTGGTGCTGCCATGGGCTATGAACCTCTCTGTTGAGAACAGTCTTGGCCTGATAGGAAGCCTTCCTAGGTGAGCCAGCAAACTGGCCTGGCTGGGTTGTAGACCCTCACTGATGATAGAAGAGCGGGCATCTTTTGGAGGTAGGGGGTCACATATCAGGCCCGTTCCGTTTGACCCTCCCATCTCAGGAGACATTCTTCCACTGCTCCATTCCTTTCCTGTCTTCTCCAGGGATAGGCTCTAGACAAGCTGCTCATCATGGGCCTCTACCCAGCTTTGGATTTGGCTTTGTTCTACAAGCCAAACATTCCCTCTTGATAAAGTGCCTCCCATTCTCTTCTTCCTTCACCTTTTTGAGACTTTCATTCTCATTTTCCATTTCCAGCTTCCTTTCCTAGCTGATACCCCTAAATCTAACTGCAGTGGGAGTTCCCCTGGCCTTCCAATTGGCTGAGTTCACCCCTTCTGGCTTGCTCAGCACCAAATGGGAGCAGGTACATGTCAGATGACTTCCTGCCACAGTCTCCAAGATGAACATTTTAATTATACAAAACCCCCCAGAAATGTGCCTCTAAAAGCACCAATAAAAATAGCAGCTGCCATCAAACTCAGTAAACTTTTCTACCTTAAGAGGGTCTGAGAGAAAGCATGCACGCATGGGTGGAGTTGTGGGGGGAGGACAGAGAAAGACAGAGACAGAGAAACAAGGAGTTTTTTTCAGGACCCTGGCCAGCTCCAAGCTCAGGCATCAGAGACAGTGAGCTCTCCCAGATCTACCTCTGGGCACCTAGAGAGGAATGAGCAATTCAGATCTGCAATCACTGTGCACACACCGCCCATATGTCCCAAACTGTCTGGGACAGACCAATATCAAATATCCTGCCCCATTTTCAGAACATGCTTCAGACCATATGTCCACATTTATGTTTAAGAAAATACAGTATCTGTGTCTTTACATGAAAATAGGGCTGATGCTGAAACAGCCACTCCTGAACCTTGGGGCTTTCCTCTCCAGCAGGCATCCCAGAGGCAGGTGCTCCCCTCCCCAAAGGAAGCATCATGGATGAACCAGCCATCAGGCTGACCAGGCA